TCGTGCCTGATTTATGGATCTCGTAAATTGCATTCTACTTTAAACCGTCACCATCCGCTGATACGGACTTATATAGTAGGGTCCATACGTTGCAAGTTACTTCATCGTGAAAATTATGAATGAAATTGTGAAATCAGGTAGTAAAGACGCAATCAAATTTCAAGGGTTTTCCCAATCATAAAACCCAGGGATCAGAAAATCAAGTGGAATTATAAGTCTCGTTTTCTTAATCTACTAATCTCTTCTATAAATTTTAACGCAAATTCCCATGTAAAACCACTTCTCATTGTGGCCATGAAATCATGTTGGAAATTTCGCTGCCACTATAGCCAGATCTTATCGCTGGCAATTTAGTGACTGAATGGATTTGCAATTGAAATTATGGCACTCATAAAAGTGAAATCAAGGCGAAATTGAATTTATGAATGACTAATTGGGAATCATACAGTGAAGATAACGGGTAATGCAATAAGTAAAGTGTATTAATGGTAATACAAGAAAGGGTTTATATTACAAAAGTGGAATTTATGGGTACAAAAGTGGATTCATTGGACGAAGAATATCAAAATGTAAATACTGAATTGAAATTCGAGTAGGGATCAAAATAATTCATTGGAAAGATTACTTTATAATTTTATATGATTTACATTTGTGATGATAAGGATCAAAATGAAATTTTTAGGGTGGATCAATTAAACATAAAAAAACTTAAAAAAGAGATCTAAGACGTATATATACGAAGGAAATTGATACCAAAAGAAAAAGATCTAATTCACTTCAACAAGGGTATTGATGAATTGTATAAAACTGAGCTATACAAATAGTCTTTTGGAACCATTTGGTAATAACGATCACTAATCTTTAGAATAAAGCGACTACCATCAAATGATTACCAAGAGTTTTAATCACCTTAGTTTTGGTACTCATGGATTGGATAAAACTGAGCTATATGGATCTATCTGGAAAAAACCATTCTAAACAAAAAGTCCTACCGAGGTATTTGGTAATAACGAGCACTGATCCTTAGATAGACTCTAAGCTATACAAAAAGTTTTATGGAACTATTTGGTTATAGCGATCACTGATCTTTAGAAAATAACCAAGCTATTAAAAAAAGTCTTATTGAACCATTATTACTAGCGATCACTGATCTTAAAAAAAAATCCACCTTCACGTAATGCTTACATTCCAGAGCCCATTCCTCCAAATTGTCGATGGCATCCCGTATGCGGTTAATATCCCGGTCGCACTGGTCGTCATCGTAGGGTCCTTCCCTCGAGATTCGGCTCACCTGGGTGCCGGTCTGATTGGCCAGTTGGGCATGCTGGGAGGCCAAATTGAAGAACTGGTGGGCCAGACTACTGCTCATCGGGGTTGAGTGACCGGAGAGGAGGTAGCTGGATGAGGCATCCTGAGCGCCGACAGTCGCGATCAGCAGCGCGACTGCCAGGACACCGAAATGGTCCTTCATAATCCTGTGCGATGGATCCTTGGTTTAGGTACAGTGATCTCTAGAGAACGCGTCGCGACCACCTGAGTGTGGAGTGTGTGACTTAGTGGGCAATCGTCCAGAGATCGTGCGGCTTTTATAGGCGAGTTTTTTGTTTTTTTTTTTTTTTTTTTTTTTTGTGATTTTCAATTGGATTTTCACCGAATAGAACCGAGCGATTGGAGTGGGCACTTGAGGGCAGCGATGACCAAGCAACGGCCGCCCCTGAAGTCTATAAATATTGCTACTGGTCTTGGTGCCTGCCCTCCTCCGATAAGGGTAAAGCCTCTCCTCCAGCGTCTGCTAATCAATTGGCTTGCAGTGCCCACTTTATCGCCCCGTTAAAGTGTCTTATCTAGCTCTCGTTCTACCCGAACCCCTAATCACCACCTCCAAGATCGCCATTACCCCAGTATAACTACGACTGGATTCACTGGTTTTGGGGTTTGGATTCGGATTTGTGGGCCAAGTGCCCGACGTGCATAAATCCATGTCAAAGACAAAAAAATAGTAGATTGCAGACATTTCATCGTGCGACTCATAGACCGGCCTATATCGAAAAGACGATCCACCATTTAGATTCGGTTTAATTAAATTACCCGCTGCCAAGGACTTTGCACCCACGAGTCGCCCACCTAAACAGACAATTATCCGATCATTTCGGTTTGGTATAGAAAGTCAAGGCCAATTTGAGGAAGGTGTCCCTGAAAAAAAGATAAACCGAATGACTATGGCACTTTTAAGAATAAATATGGGATTTATATAAGGCGAAGTAGCTTATATTTAGCTTAGATTATTATGGTATTATGATGAAATGATTGAAATGAAATAAGATAAGGAACAAAACGATAGCTTGAGATGATATAATATGGTTAGAGTATGGTGAATTGGACTATGATAAAGTCACGGGTTATTTATTTTTTTAAACTACATTTATATTTAGGATAGATTAAAATGGTATTATGGTGAAATGATTAAAAATTAAATATGATAAGACGACGTATAATACATATAAATATATACATATAAATCAATTGCCAATGACACTTTGGAGTAGATAATACATATTTAATAAGGGAATTGTGTAAAGCAAAGTATGCAAAGAAGGGAATTAGGATCATTAAAATAAAGCGTTAATATAGCTTATATTAAAATGGTATTATGATGAAATGATTGAGAATGAAATAAGATAGGAAACAAAACGATAGATTGTGATGATATAATATAGTATAGTACAATGGTTACGATAAAGTCAGGGGTTATTTATTATTTCAGCCATTTTTATATTTATAATTATTAAAATATGATATATATGATATGATAAGACGAAAATAAAATAAACAACAATTTCGGTAGAAGGAAAAAAATAAAAATGAGTTACAGAAAAACAATATTTATGTTGGGTTAGGACGGTTCGGTTGTTTAATATACAGCACCATATAACTTCAAGGTTTTCCTGCTTCACTAATCGAAAAGAGCTTCCCCGAAACCACACCCAAAAATTTGGTTTAACACTTCCCAGAATTTAAATAATCTTATTGGCGCCCCACGAAAACGAAATCATTTCAAGGAGGTAAACAAAAGCAGTCGATAAACCCGGTGAGGAGCATAATCAGCCTTATTTCATTTACTGTATCAGGCAATCGTATCTCCGATCCGAGAGGCCACTTGCCCCATGTCTATTCAGATCGAGTGGTGGTGGGTTGGCATTCGTTTGTTCGTCGTTTGGATGACACTCACTTGAGATGGAGTGCGGAAACAATTGATAGGGAAACGATCCGTATCCGTAATTTCGCAAAAATTTTTTTATGGCGTGGGAACAGAGTATATAATGCCCGATTCTGGGTACTTGTCCACTTGTTGTCCCCAAATCTTATCTGCCAAGAACAGATTTCCCCGGTTACTGATCGAGACCAGCTGGCTGAGTTTGTTCCGCAGATTTACAAGCTCAGGAAAGCATTGTAAACTAACTGAAGCAAAACTTTTCCACATCGAGGGAATCTCAGCAGGATAAGATTAGCTTGGCTGGGTGGCAAAACTTTCGGAGGTAAAGTACAGGTTCAATACAGATTATGAAAAAGTGAATCACAGATCAATTACAAAATTCAGATTCAAACAAAAAATATAAAGTAATAACATTTGTAATGCTCTTATCAATTTCTTAAGTAAATATTACAAATATTATTAATAAAATTCTTCACGCAAATATCAAAAATCTTAAAAAAAATAGTTTGCTTTAAAAAGTATACTATGGAATTTTGGATTTTTATTTACCATTTTTTATTGTAAAGAAAAATATGAAGGTTATGTATTTATTTCTTTACTTTGAATAGCAAATTATGCTACAGTGCGAAATGGAATTTTGATATATTTATTTATTGCATAAGAACTGTATTAATACTGCGATTTTAAATTTGTAAAAAAAAACCAATAAGTCCAAAGGAGTAATTATCTTTTAGAAGCCCCACTCCCCTTCAACGATTACGTTATATATGATTATGATAAAAAAATATACAAAATAAATTCCAGTGCTCCGTAGGTTTTACTTTTCATTACAGTGATATCATTGCAAGGTCCGTTTGGACTTTACGACCCCCCGCTGAAGGTCTTTCGTACTATTCATTCCACTGGGGTGGACCTTAGTCAAACCAAACTAACACCTACCTCATTCAAATAAAATTCCTTTACTCTTTACTCGTTAAAAAAGTCGTTTAATACATATTGGGCAATAATCGTTGAATACCGTCTTGTACGAAAAGAGCTATTGCTCAGTCTCTAAGACTGTGAAGGTCCACCCTTGCGGCTATCAGAGATCGATTTCGATTCGAATCCACAAACGAGTCGGCCCGAAGCACACAAATCCCTCGAAGCTAGAACGTCAATTGGCCGGCACTTGAAACTGTTTTCGACACATTATTTATAGATGTTTTAGATGTTTTTGACGATGGCACGGGTTGATAGTAACGGATAATTCCCAGCAACGAACGCTCTATAAACCGCTCTATATAATATAAGAAGAGCGGTACGGACTTCGAACCCAAACAGCCGAAGTTCTCCCGATTTCCGCCTGGCGATATAACGTCAATGTAGGTTGCTACCAAAGACCAGTGAAAGTGGACCCATTTAGGAGCCATAAATCCTAGCCCCAAGAAAGTGAATCATCTAAGTAAATCGACCCAATAATTCGAGGGCTTTCGACTCGTAACACTCGATTCTGATTTCCCGAACCCAGACGCACCTCGTATGTTATCAAAAACTACGTTTCGCTTTTGAGTTATATTTAAATTTGGGCAAATATTCTTGGTCTGATTTAATCGACCATTATTTTTGGCCAGCTATCGGGTATGTCAGCCGTTTACATAATCATTAAACATTCTCTAGATTGATTGATGTGCACTTCAATAATTAAAGGTGATTTCAAATTTTTAAAATATAAATTACATATATTTATATTACAGAGATTTCTAGAATCTCCCTTAATACCCCCGAAGAAAAGCAACCAATATGGACATTCATTTTAATTTCATAATTTTTATTTAAATTAATTTATTTTACACTTTCAAGCAAAGTATTTAGTTAATTACAGTGTTGTTGGTTTTTTTATTTTGTTGTTTTTGTTTGCTTTGTTTTGTTTCGCTTGGTTTGCTGTGATTTTGGATCAATACGACAAAAAAAAGAAGGGAAATAAAGTAGGAGATAGATTGGTAGAAACAATAATAATATTAATAATTATAATCATCGTAATAATAGTAAAAAAAATATTTATATATTTATGTTTATTCATACACACATGCAATGGATGTGTATGCATGTGTGTTTGGGGGGGAGTGTGTGAGGGTGGGGGGTGTTTTGGGTGTTTTTGGGTGTCATTAAATTAATGAAATCTGATAGAAAAGTCAAAGTCATCTTATCAGCTTAACTGTCGCACTATTTTACAAGTAGGTATTATTTCATAACGGTTTATCTTTATCATTTATCATTATTGTTTATCGTTATCGTAATCATTAGCATAAACATTATCGTACTCATTATTAATATTAGTTATTAGTATCAATCGTTCTTTCGTTTTTGTTTTTCCCATTTGTTTTCTCTCTTGTTTTTGTTTTTCTTGTTGTGGTTGTGGTTGTTGTGTTAGAACTAGTTTTTACTAAGGCTTGGTTTACTTTACACTTGACTTATCTAACCTTCGCATCCTTTTTTGTTTTTGTTTTCCCCTTTTCTCGAGTTCTTTTTTTTTGTGGGTTTTTCTGGGTTTTTGTTATAAGAAATTACATTTTGTATGCATAATAATAAACGCGTTTAGCAAAGTGCTTCGTCTTCGGTTAACGTTTTTTTTTTGTTTTCTTTCTTTTCCGCTGCTACTGCATTTAGAATAAATGTTCATTTATAATTTACATGTGTTGGCTTAATCAAGTATATAATATATATATATATTTATATATGTATATTCCCCCGCTCTTTCGTGTGATCGATCGTACCTATATATAAATGTGTATATAGCGCTGGTTTTAGACTAAGACTTAAACTCTAAGTATCATCCGGTTAATGCGTTTTGTGTTTCTTCTATGTTCTCTGGTTTTCTGGCTTCCGGCTTTACTTCCTCTTCTCCCCTTCGTTCATCTTCTACATCATCATCATCATCTTTTTCATCATATATAATTGTAATCACAAATAGTTTTGGAATATGCTCTCTCTTTTTCGCTCTTTCCGCCGCTCTCTCCTCTCACACAAAACGGTTAAAAACGATAATTGATGCGTCTTTGCCACTCGCACTTTCACTCAGCCACTCGTTCTCTCTCGCTCTCTTTCACACCCATAACTTTGTTCATTGCTGTGACTGTGTGTGGTATAAAAACAAAAACAATATGCGTAGAAAAAAGACGGCAAGCAGCTCTCTTTCTCCCTCTCTCATCTTTCTCCTTTTCTTTTTTTTGGTTACTATCGTGTGTTTAATTAATAATTAAACGCTGCGCCCGCTAAACCGAACTTTTTTGTTTTTTTTTTTTTTTTTGTTTGCACCAGCACGCAGCGTCTGCGTTTCGAAGGCAGCGTCTTGTTATCGCAACTATTACCGATCAACGATTGTCGATAATCAATTACCGATCATTGTTCCATACGTTAAAAGTACAAAGGCATTCGGCGGCAGAGCCCAGTGACTTGAGTATGATTTCGTTTATATATAATATTTACTTTAACTTGCTTTGTTTTTCGTTTTTGTTTTTTGGTGTCTGTTTTTTGATTGTGTGCAGCGCAGCGTGGGTATCGAACTCATCTAGTCCATTTTTTTTTATCGGTTTTATCGGTGGCAGGCGCAGCTTTTTTTGTTGGTTTTTTCAATTTTTTCTTTTGTTGTCTTTCGCTTAGCTAAGGAAACTATGCGCGTTTCGTTTAAAAACACACTAACTAAAAGTATATATCCCGACACATAATGTATATATATTTGCCATATGTGTGTGTGGCGGTGTAGGTCTAAACATAAACGATATAACCGATTGTTTCGATATATGTATGCGCGGCTTACAAACTAGGGCATTGGATTTTACAAACTGTCGCGTACGTGTGACCTACTACACCTATCAGTAATCGGTAATCAGTAATCGTTAATCAGTAATCGGTAAATATATATATTTGTATATATATATATTGTGTGTATTTGTATTTGTATTCGTATGCGTGTGTGTGTTGGGTATTTACAATTAGTTACTTGCTGAAGTCGCAATTGAAGGCATTTTTATGCGCAGTGAATAAGTATCCTAGTATCTAAAATTTACAATTTCCCTCATCTACTGTCTCGCTCTCTCGCTGTCTCCCGTCTCTGTCTGATTCTTGGGCGGCGGCAACTGGTAGAAAAAGAAAACAGTTAGAAAACGAAAACAATAGAACACACATACCATTTTAGGTAAAACAAAAAAAAAATAAAAAAAAAATTGTAGTTAGACATGATATATCCGATTAGTTTGGGTATTCTCTAAAGACTAAATTGCTGAAATTCGGTCAGCTGTTTATCAGTTGTTCCATACAAATTCAACTTGCTGAAAATTCAGCAGTTTAGCAAAATTTTGCTGTATATTTCAGAGATTCAGTCGTTTAGGGAAAACCCAAATTGAAAGAGAACCCAGTTTGAAAACTACAGATTTAGTCTAATAGTGATAAACCTAAATCGAGTCGTTTTAGCCTTAAAGTCTATATAGCCTAGATGTGTTTTTTGTTTTGTTTTAGCGTTAATAAATAGCAATCGAACCTGCGTCCCCCGTAAAATTCCTACTTCCTGCTTTTGAGACAAATGGGGGTTTGTTGGCGCTCCTCTAATTCTTTTTTTTTTCTTTTGGCTATCACAAAATCAAATACTAAGTAAAACGTCAAGTTATATATAGTATGTACAGGTAAGGTCGAAATTAAAATGGATATAAATCGAGGAATTAGGAACGCGCACACACACACTCACACACTTGCACACACACACACACACACACATTGGTCCTTAAGACTAAAATTCTTAAACAATATAAACAATCAATCGTGAACAATTTGTTAGAAATTACAACACTAATTTGTTGTCCTACGTATGCATATATGTTTTGTAAATGTTAGTTCCTTAAATAGTTCAAGTACCCTAAAATCTGTATTCAAAGCATTTTGGCTATTGCTATTTTGTTGCTTTTGTTAATCATACTCCTTTCGTATCCCTTCCCCGGTCATCCTACTCCTTTGCTTATTTGTTTGGTGTTTTTTGTTGCGACTGTCCTGATTCTTGATTCTCCTAATAATTGCGTTTTCTAATCGTCGTCGAACCCGTCACCTTCCTCCCTCATCCTTTGTAATTTATTGTTGTCTGTCATTTAGAAGCGATTTTTTTGTTTGTTTTTTTTTTCGAATGTAGTATTTGGGTGTAGGGTGTGGGGTTTCCAAAAGGATGAGGTTTCCGATGCCAATGCCGATTCCCGATTCCGATTTCGATTTAGATTCCTATTCCGTTTGATCTCATTTGTGTATAAAAATATGTATTTACTCTATGCGTGTTCCCAATTTGAAGCTCCTATAAGGAGCACTTAATCATCAACTGCCGATCGCCGAACAGGCACATTGTCACTATAGGCTATATATTTCTTGTGCGGATGTGGATGTGGATGCGGATGCGGATGGTCGTCGGGTCGTTATCTGTCGTCCAACTGGCTTACAACACAACAAGGGTACAAAATATTTAATTCAACTTTACAACACTTCCTCTGCACTCTGTTCTCTTTACATACTTTAGACTTGAGTGCTGCGCTGCGGCGATTCATTCGTTTGTCACAAAATAATAAATAATATTACTTTCGCTGCTGCTTCTTGCTTAAAATTTAAGTCACTAAGGAAAGGTTTTTTAGCTTTAGCTTTCGCTCAACGTTTGAAACGTTGTTACATCGAGGTGTTTTGCTCTGCTCTTGCTCTGTTTTTCTGTTTTTTCTGTTTTGCGTGGGAACAAAAGGAATTGCATTCATTAATACATGGTGTGTTGGGTGTTTTAGGGGCATATGAAATATATGTTATATATATTTGCTACATCGCGCGATCTTACATAATGGAAATCGAATCAAGATGCTTTGTTCAAATTTTGTCCTAGACTTAAACTAAAGGCTTTATAGCAGTGGTGGTGGTGGGTGGGTCTTAACCTAGTTTACAAATTAAATGTGATAGCTGGTGTTGGTTTAATCATGATAACGCTATACATTTGGGGTGCAATGTTAGTTTAGTTTTAGTTTTAGTTTTAGTTGTAGTATTAGTTTAGTTTAGTTTAGTTTAGTTTAGTCATAGTCAGTTTATGAATCTTCATCTGGCCTTTGGCTTGTGGTTACCATCCATTGTAGCTGTTGCCGCTACTGTTGCTGTTGCTGCACTAGAGCCGCTCCACAAACTTGGTCAGCTGGTCGGAGGCGTCGGGCAGTGGTCCACCGGCATTGCCCACGCCCACGCCCACGTTGCCAACGTTGACGCCCACGCCCACGCCGACGCCCACGCCTACGCCCACATCCTGCGGCACACCTGGCAGCGGCGACTGATGGTGCATGCCATGGTTGTGCATGCCATCGTGCTGCGGCGGTCCCTGCGGCGCCGGCGAATGGCTCATCACGTGGTGCGGCGAGGGCTGGGCGCGGGGCGAGGCGGATGGAGCGGCACGTGGCGATGGCGCCGAGCGCGGTGATGGCGTTGGCTGGGGCGAGCGGATGGGCGGCGAGGCGCGGGCCGATTGCATCAGCTGCTGCTGCAGCGAGTGCGGCGTCGGGGGTCCCATCACCTGGGCATTGGGTCCGCCCACAACGGACGATGGATTCTGCTGCGGATTCTGGGCATTCGGCATGGCCACCTGCATCATCTGCTGCTGCTGCTGCTGCAGGGGCTGTTGCTGCTGCTGTTGCTGTTGCTGCTGCTGCATTCCGGGTGGCATGCCCACGCCCATCTGCTGCTGCTGTCCGGGACCTGGCTTCACGCCCACTCCAACGCCCTGTTGCAGCATATTGGAGGCAGCCGCCGCATTGGCCATCGAATACTGATCGCCACCGGGCACTCCGGCACCAGCTCCTCCTCCTCCGGGCACGCCCACTCCCACGCCGACGCCCACTCCCGTGCCGCCAGCACCGCCCGCATTGAAGTTGCCGGGTCCGACGCCGCCACCGCCGCCGCCGGGGAACTGCTGCTGCTGCTGCTGGCCGGGACCGGGTCCAGCGCCGCCCATGTGCGGACCACGCTGGCGCTGCGGATATGGTGGCGGGTACTGGTTCATCTGCATGTAGCGCATCTTGTTCCAGTTCTGGTTGGGCACCTGTGTTGGAGGAAGGTTTACTAAGTATAACAGATAACAGTCGCATTTTGTGGGGTAAATTTTGTTATTAGCGGCAAAAGGTTAAATAAATATTATATATTATAGAAAAACACTTCTTAAAAAAAAGTCTGAATCATTAAGGGAAATTATATTAACTAAAAACTTTTTACTATTTTAAGATTATAATCCTAAAGCTTTTGCCTCTTTTGCCTCTCTGTACTTACAGTATAACAGTGGCATTTTGTTGGGTAAACTTTGTTATTAGGGGTCAATGGTTGAGTCAAGCCTAATCATTAGAGCATATAAATATACATAATATTAAAAAAAACCTTTTCTTTAAAAGTAAATCCAGCTCTGCCAATTTAAACAAAAAATTTGCAAGTGTAAAAGCCAGAATCATAAACGAGCATTATATAAAATAAAAGACTTTTTACTATATTAAGATTTTGGTCCTCTGTACTAACAATATAACAATATAACAGTCGCATTTAGTGGGGTTAGCTTTGGTTTTTTAGGGATCAAAGGTTAAGTAAAGCCTAGTTATTAGCGCATATGCACAAATGGATATTATACATCAAAGGCTTTTCTTAAACAAAAAACCCTCTGCCATTTTATGCAAACAACAACAAGCAAGGGACATTATACATATAGAGTAAAAGAAATTCCTTTGCTGGCTTTTAATCGAACTCTGGTAGTTAAGTAGTCGCTTATTGCAGGTCACTTACCATTCCTCCTTGGGCGGAGACGCCTGGCGACATGTTGGGCGGCAGGTTCTGCAGCATCATGGCTGTGTTCTGCATGTTGGGCATGCGATGGGGCACAGTTCCGGGTCCGCCCTGCTGCTGCTGTTGCATTAGATTCACCTGCTGCTGCTGCTGGTTGGGATTCATCTGCTGCGGACCACCACCTTGCTGCTGCTGCTGCTGGTTCATCATATGCTGCATTTGCTGTTGCTGCATCACCTGTTGCTGCTGCTGCTGTTGCTGCTGCTGCTGCTGGGGATTCTGCGGACCATTGCCCGCCTGCTGCTGCTGCAGGGCGCCGCCACCAGGTGCTCCTCCTCCGCCACCCGCCGCCGCATTGATCTGCGACTGGTGGCTCTGCTGGCGCTGCTTGATGATGGCCGCCATTATCTGCGGATTCTGCTTGAGGATGGTGAGTATGTGCTGGTTGCTCTCGTTGGTGGGATTGTTCTTGATCTTCTGCATGATCTGTGCCAGTTGCTGGGTATTCAGTTGGCTGCCAGTGGCACCACCACCGCCGCCGCCGACGCCGCCACCTCCTCCTCCTCCTCCCGCTCCCGGCGGAGGACGGACGCCGCCCACAGTTCCGGCCATGGGCGGTGCTCCCATGCCCATACCCATAACGCCGTGCTGTCCACCGACGGGCATCTGGCCTCCACCCAGTTGATTGGGTCCGCCTAAGCCCATCATCTGCTGCTGTTGCTGCTGCTGTTGCTGCTGCTGCTGCTGTTGCTGCTGCTGCTGCTGTATCAGATTGGGCTGCATCAGCTGGCCGGGTTGACGCATGCCGGTGGCATTGTTGGCATAACGTGCCTGGGGATTTACACCGCCCGGATTGCCGCCGGCTCCACCGCTATTGCCACCCCACTGATCCATGGGCAGCAGGTGGTTGGCATTCAAGACGTTCAGTGAGCAGTTGCCAGAGCCGGGCAGGGCGGGACCACCGGCACCGCCAGCGGGATTGCCACCGCTCAGTTGGTTAACGCCGCCGACACCGCCCACTCCCACACCTCCAACTCCTACGCCAACCATGCCGCCCAGCTGATTGACCACATTCGGATTCGGTCCTGCCACGCCCATCGCTCGATTCATCTGGGGCGGCGGGGCCATGGCCGGTCCGCCCTTGCCGAAGCCACCGCCATGCGAGACCTGCTGGCGAGCGGCCTCCTCCTGCACCTGCTTGACCACCTGCAGCACACTGGGCGACGGCGAGTGGCCGCCGCCGGGCTTCATCCCGATGCCCGGCTGGTGCGGGTGCGGCGAGGTCATCCCGCCCATGACGCCGGCACCGCCCGAAACGGGCGAGGGCACTGCCACCGTCGATGGCGACATGCCACCAGCTCCCGGTGCCATTATGCCCGGCTGGCCCGGCATCACCTGTTGGCCCAGAGCCACGCCGCCGGACATGCCCACCACGCCGCCGGGTGCGGCGACCACCGCCGACGCCGGACCACTGACTGCCGCCGGACCGGGCAGAGCCGCTGGAGCCGCTGTGCGGGACATGAGCGCCACACGACGACGCAGCAACTGCTGCTGTTGGAGTCTGCAAAAAAAAAGAGTGAGAAGAGTAAGGCAAGTGTTTAATACAGAGGATACAAAGAGTCAATAAAAAAGGGGATTTTGTAAAGGGAGCTGTCTTATCCGTATAACAAGAAAGAAAGCAAGCCGAAGTTCTTATACCCTTCTTTGAAACATTTAAATTTCTATTTGTAATCGTTTATGTTTTAAAACATTGATGCTATGATGATTTTCAGCTCAGTTATTTGATCGTTCCTAAGGCAGCTATGTGATATTATTTTCCGATTTTAATAAAATTCAAAGCGTAATTCTATATTAATAAACCAGTAATAAATGTCCAAAAGAATTAAAAAAAATAATTAAAAATAGAAAAGTTACTTTTTTTTTCTTTTTTTTTTATATTCCGATTGCTCCCATGAGAGCTATATGTTTAAGTCGTTCAATTTTAATAAAACTTTAACCGTGGTATTTGTTATATTGCGAATGGGAATGTAGGTGTGAACAAGTCTTTTTCGAAATCTATAAATACTAATCTTGAGAATGTCATATAAGCTAATTTATGTTATGCCTCACAATGAAATGGTTCTCCACTTCCAATGATATCTTACATAAAAGCGCTTTATAGAACGAAACTAAGTATGCAGATATGCTTAGATGAACCTCTAGTAACATAATTTATTTTAATTTCAATAAATTCATACTGATAGATTGGAGTAAAACTCACTTTTGCTGGAGCTGCTGCTGCTTGAGCTTGTGCTTGATGTTGGGACAGAAGGGCACGGGGCACTTCTGCTCCTGACAGTGCTTGGCGTGGTAGCAGCAGAGGGCGATGAGCTGCTTGCAGATGGGGCAGCCGCCGTTCGTCTTCCGCTTGCAGTTCTTCGTGTGCTGGACGACGCGCTTCATCTTCTGGCACGAGGGCAGGCGGCAGTTGGCGTCGCGGCACTGACAGGCGTGCACCAGCGACTGGATGCACCGCTGGATGGACTGTTTGCGGGCCTCCTGCGGATTGGCCTGCTTGTGGTCCGCCGGCGCCGAGCCGTCGTCGATGTCGAAGCCGAGCTTCTCCATCTTGTGCGGATGGCCGACCTTCTCCTTGCACACGATGCACAGATCAAAGTCCTGCGAATGAAGTAAGGCACAAATATACATATTTTAGAAAATTATACAATTTATACAAGTTAAATCATATACTTAAGATCACAACTGACTCATGGCAAAACATAAATCAGACACAATTAATATCAATAAACACGAACACATGTAAAGAATGTCAGCATAGGTGGGCTTGAGTATATGACAAAGACCAATTTCATTTGGATTAGCAATGACTTCAACTTATTACGCAAATATTTATAATTTATTTATTATTTATAACCTTCAGATAAACCAAAGAATTTTACTTTCTTAGTGTCTTTGGATTAGCGATGAAAAAATAATGTAATTGTCTCTTACTGAACTTAATATTCACACAACATTTAACCTCATATGTAATAATATTTATTGATTTATAGTTAACAATGAACTGCTAACTTCACAATTCTATTTCTAAACTTCTTCAACACTTGTAGTTTCTTTAAAAATCAGGATGTACTTTGTTAGTAAAGAGTATTCTAGTACTGAAGGAGCTCAAGCTTAAGCAAAATTTCTCAATCTTGGTTTATATATATGGACTTTAAATACATTTCAGTCTGCCAAAGAATTCACCTTCAAACTAAGTGAGTCAGTAAAACCCAAGCCAAATTGCTCCACTTAATCTACATTTTTGTATACTTTACACATATATAAAAGCTATACATTGGTTTTCAGTGAAATTTCGTAATGATAAGGTAGCAATTAGCATGGCAGTACTCACATCACAGACGGTGCAATGGTAGCGCGTCTCCACCGCCGTCTTGCAGTGGTTGCAGGTGTAGACGAACTTGTCCTGGCCCTGGTTATGTAGCTCGTACAGCATGGACAGCGTGGAGAACTGGGCGCGCCGCAGCGATGAGAACTCAAAGTGCTTGTCGCGGGCGAGGGTGAGGAAGGCGTCACGTCCGTCCATCAGATCGCAGGTGAGCAGCGGATCGGGATCCTGGATGGGCTGTTAGATGGGCAACAAAGAATCACATATTAAATAGAGTTTTTTCATTGAAGAAAGCTCTGCTTAACTTACCGCCAAACTCGCTGCCGATTGCGCCGAATGCAAACGGATAACGAAGAAGACCTCCTTGTGCTTCTCCATGGTCGCATAAATCTTGGCGGAGAGATCGTTGCCCGACTGATGCTCATTGGACTTTTTGCTGTTCTTCCGCTGCGCCGCCTTCGATTTGTTCGACTTCTTGGCCTTCTTCTGGCCCTTCTTCTTGCCATCGCCGCTCACCTCGTTCTCCTCGATGGAGAAAAGCTGCAAGATTTCGGAAGAGATTTAATTAAGAGGTTTAAAATACATCACTAAGGGGGTATGACAATGTAAAATAAATCATTCATTGTCTATAACCAAAAAAGGAAATCATTTAAAATATATAACAAGTAAACAGAGAATAATAGGCAACAACTGCTCTTCAAACACTTACATTCGCTGCAGCCGCTGCTTCGGCGGCCTCGGCCTGCTTGCGCTTCTCCTCCTCCTCCTGGTCGAGCTCCTTGATGCTCTCCTCCAGGACGTTGGGCCAGAAGTCGCCCTCGAAGTAGGGCAGCTCGGCGGCGGAGCCCAGCTTGTCCTCCATGGCCTGCTTGAGGATGTCCTTGTAGTCCTGGATGATGCGCTCGATCATGCCCTTGTCGAGCATCTTCTTGTACCACTCCTGCAGCCGCTTGGGCTTGGGTATCTTCTGGTCCGTGGGATGGCAGTGGAAGATGTAGTCATCGCCCTCGGAGGGCGGACATGCCCAGATGTGGGCCATCGTGTAGCCCAGCTGCTTCACATAGTCCATGTAGCCGAGCAGGATTTCGTGGTATACCGCAGTGCGGTATTGTCGTGGCCGGAAGAAATGAACTGAATCCAGATAGGCAATGTACACACGCCGCGTATTCGGCGCCGGGCACTCCGATCCGTACTCCTGCACGTGCATGCCAAAGAAGCAGACGTCGATGCCGTCCACCTCCTCGAAGGCGAACAGAGCTTTGGCGCGGTACGGAAACTCGTTCATCATCTCGCCCTGCTCCACGAAACGTCGACGCATTCCGGGTTTCACCTCGACGCACTTGTCGGAGGAGCTGACCACACGGATGTGCACCTCACCGGCGCCCGCCTCCTTCTTCTTGAGGAAGTTGTTCACACGCGTCTCAATGTACACGCCCAGTTTGGTGGATGGCAGACGCTTCGCATTGAACTTATTCTCCTTCCGCTTCGAGTTCTTCTTTTTCAAACAGTTGTCGCACACAAAGCCGCCGGGCCAAATCGAATCCAGCCAGAGCACACAGATCTGGTGCTGCTTGCGTCCACATTCCTGGCAATCGACGAACGGCTCCAGCTCCAAATGATCGTTCTTCATCTCCTTGAACTGGTCCTTTTTGATTTGGCTGGATAAAGGGGAACACATGATGGGTTTGGATTTGGTTTTGGTTTTGGATTTGCCTGATTTCGAGGCGATTCTTTGAAAGTTTGAAAAAAAACACAATTGGATAGCCCTAGCTTAAAGGAAGTCTTTTGTTTTCAAGATTTACACAAATTTCCATATAAAAACAAAAGCTCATGGAATGGTTTTTAACGTACATAAGTAACCTACTAATATGGATGTGTTCAAAAATGTCTATATTATGAAGAATTGCTTTAAAAAGTCCCATTGAATCGTTTTAACATTTTAAGTTCTTACTAAATCTGTCCTATTATTAAGGATTTGATACAATTAATCGCCAACTGCTTAGAAATCAGGAAACAAAAATTATAATGATCGTAAGTATAGCTACTTCTCTGAAACGATCACTAGATAACTTTTTCAAAGATTAATATGGTCTGGTAATAAAGTATTATTGTTTAAGGATTTGATATGTATTATATTGTGATCTATTAAACTAGCTGTTTTCGTTTTCAAAACCAATGCTCAAAATGAACTTATGATCGCTACATTTTAGATATGATCATCAGATAACTGATAGCTGCATGTTGTTGCTAATTCTCAAATCTCTTTTTGAAGATAAAAACCATTCCTTAACTAAAAGTTGAATATTTAAAATGTTTTTTTTTGTTTGGATACTCACGTTTGCGACTGCAGTGGATCATCGCCCAGTGTGACCGTATCGCCCTGGATGTCGTTAAAGCACTTTTGGCAGTAGGTGTATCTATTTGAGGCGACACCGTATTCCTTTAGACTGATGTTTTGTTTGTTGGTTTTTTTTTGGTAGTTCGTTTTCAATGCGTTTTGTTTTTATTTTGTTTTTTTGTTTTATTCGATTTTAGTTGATTGATGGACGAAATTTGAAGATGGCAGCCAAAAAAAGGGGAACACAACAACACAGGCGTGTGTACAGACAGGTGTATGGGTGTACAGGTGTTCGGATGTACAGGTGTGCGTGCAAGCGAGATGGTTATATGCATTTGGTCAGTTGCAAGTGTGTGAGTGTGTTTTATATTATAGTTGTTTTTGGTTTTTTGTTTTTCGATTTTTGTTTTTGTCAATTTTCACACACATACACACACACCGAGAGAGAGACGGCACACACAGATACAAATATTAATAAAGACACACAATAATACAGTTATGAGGCGACACATATTATTGGTTTTTTTTTTTTTTTTTAGTTGCGGGGGAGAAAAGAATCAAAATAAACAAAAAAAAAAAGAAAGAAAGAAAGGAAGAGAAACAAAAAGAGTGATTTGTTTTGCATTAGAATTTGTATCACATAAATACAACAATTAAGGGGTTAATCATAATATCATTAAATATCCCAGAAGTATTACCATACTTAAGCGCATATATTGTACAAGTATTTTTTTTGATATATATTTTTTTTAACATTACAAGATCTATTGCTCTTTCAAATTCAGTTTTATTTTAAGATCTGATACTATGTCACCATACTTATAAGATAGATAAACTGGGATATTTAACCACTTATAAAAGATCTGTTTATCCTTTAAATTCAATTTTATATACAGATCATTTGTAATTAGCCACGGATTTGATTTTGGTTCGTTTTGCTCGGTTCTGACTACTCGAAAAATGTGGAATGTTTCAAAACCTCGACTTGGACTTGGATTGGGATCGTGTTGGATTGAATCCACAAATAGTTAATGGCCATGATGGATCAGGGGATGCATCAAGCAGTAGCAACAGCAAAAGCGGTTATGAAGGGAGCATTTCTAGGAAGGCGTGTGTTTGTTTATGTTTGATTGTGTGTGTGTCGTAGTTGTTGGTTAAATATATAGGCCTATATATTACTTTCATTGTGCAATGTGCAATGCATTAATGATTTTATTTACACAGCAACATTAGGGATAAAACACACACACACAAAAAAACACAGAAAGGAGCAAAGGGAGCAGAAGCCATCAAATTAGTGCACAAAACGGACATTTTAAATGTTAAAGATGCTTTGAACAGCCGTTGAACATTGATTTGGTATTGGTAATAAGGAGAGCAAGCGGTTTTTATAACTAAAACACAGGACCTGTTCTGGCTTTATCGTTTTGTTTTTCAGAATTTATCACATTTTGATCAAAAGTGTGTATAGATATGTATTGGAAAACCGAAACAGGCCTCTGCTCTGGATCACAAACATTTTCAAGAAATCTCTAAATTACATTTCACATCAAACAGAGAAACAGAAACGAAACGGAGCCAAAGTGTTTTTGGGCGATTGGGAGTATATGTAGGGGATCGTAATCGATCGTAATCGATCGGTTTCAGTGTGAAACATACCTGTTCTGGTAGCTGTAGTACTTGGCATCCCGCGGAATCGTGCACAGCTGCTTGCCATAGCAGCAGAGCACCTGTGGATTGAATGTGTACTTCCTGCCGCAGCAGTAGCCCAAGGCCTGCATCACAGGATCAATCTCTGCCTCAAAAACTTCCGAAAGCTAAAAGGTCAAGATCATTAGCATGCAATTCTCGAAGGACCAAATCTGATTTATCGTACCTTGGTGCAATAACGATACACCCGCGATGTCTTGCGATTATAGAGCCAGGCATTGTCGAACATCAGCCACACATCGTCCACATACTCCCAGGGATCACTGTACTTGCCGTTCTGAATGTTGGTGCGTATGGTGCCCAGGTCCATGGGCTTCTTCACGATCTCAAAGTAGTCGGGAATGCCCAGTGCCTGCGGATCGACGGGATAGCGAAAGGGCACCGATTCGGGCTCCTGCCGGTACAGTTTCTCCAGCGTGGGCAGCAAAGCGGTGCGCAGCTCTTCGGGATTGAATTCTATAAGAAGGACATGTTTATTGTGATGAGAAAATGAGGTATTGATCTAAAAATTTGTACACATATGTGTCTATTTTTACGGTATATAAACATTTAAACAAAATACATTTAAAATCTTTAGTGTTGACTTTCACTTACGGCATTTCTTCTTTTTATCACCCGCATTGGGTGCCAATGGCTCTGGTACGAGCGGTTTCGTTTCCGTCTTGGGCTTGATGTCCACAGCACTGCCAGCTGCTCCGCCATCATGCGCTCCGTTGATGTTATCCTTGCCACCGCCGAGACCACCATCAGCATGATGCTCGCCCGCCGTCGAACCGCCAGCCTCGTCCACATCCATGGCCTCCGTTTTGATCTTCACCTCGCCATCCAGACCATCCTCCGTCTTGATCTCCATTTTGATCATGCTGGTGCCATCGTTGTTCACATTCTTGCCCTTGCCACCGCCCGTGGAGCAGTCCATTTGCGAGCTATCGTTGTTGCCGCCACAGCTGTCGTCCATGAACTCCTTCTTGATGTCGTCATCCTGCTTGATGGAGTCCAGCTTGCCCTTGGAGGCCATGCCGCCGGCGTTGCCGCTGCCCCCACTGCCATTGGTATTCTCGCCCGACGGCGAGGGCGTCTCATCGTCGTTGTCCCGCGCCGCAGCCTCCAGGGCGGCCATCTGCGAGGAGAGACTGCTGGAGCTGCTCATCATGCGACTGCTCGAGGAGCTGGATGTGGTGGTGGTGGTGGTGGTCGCCGCTCCTCCTCCGCCTCCTCCTGACATCAGTAGCAATGGATTGCTGGCGGGCGTTGTAGATGATCCTCCTCCTGCTCCTCCTCCAGCTCCTGGTCCTCCTCCACTACTCGTGGCCATGGTGGCTGAAGTGGGCGTGGACACTGAACTCAGTGGCGTTCCCGAACCTCCAGAGGAAGTTGAGGATGTGGAACTGGCTCCCGCTGCAGTAGCTCCTCCACTGTTGCTGCTATTGCTGCCGCTGCCGCTGCCACTGCCACCGCTGCCACTACTTGCACATGTGGCTGCGGCCGAGGCGGGCGTACTGCTGGCCGCCAGACCGGAGGCCGAGGCACTGGTTGCTGGTACTGGTGAGGCGGGTATGTAGGGCGGTGTACCCGGACGATTGCTTAACGGCTGTTGCATCAAACTGCTCACCGAGGGCGGGTTGTTGTTGGCACTGCTACTGCTGTTGTTGTTGTTGTTATTGTTGTTGGAGGGCGTGCCTATGGAGGGTCCATTGGAGAGGAAGCCAGGCGATGGACTGGGCGCTGCCACCGTCACATTGGAGGCACTTGCTCCGGCACTCAAAGCCTCCAAACTTGTGGGCGTGGGCGGCATGTTGTTCAGCACACTGCCGGGCTTCTGTTGTTGCTGTTGCTGTTGCTGCTGCTGCTGCTGCTGCTGTTGCTGTTGCCCTTGCTGCATGGGCGAGCTAAAGCTGTTGCTGGTAGCCTGTTGCTGTAGGGGCGCTGCATTGCTGAAAGGCGATTGCGGCAACAGCATGCCCTGTTGTTGCTGTTGTTGTTGCTGCTGTTGCTGTTGTTGCTGCTGCTGCTGCTGTTGTTGCGCCTGCTGCTGTTGCTGCTGGTGTATATGTCGCTGCTTCATGATCTCACTCAGCTGGGGATTAGCTCCAGAGCCACCATTTGCATTGATGAACTGCTGCTGCTGCTGTTGTCCCGGCACCGGACTGGTGAGCACATTGCTTGTCTGGTAGGGTGAGAGTGCCGGGTTGACCACCATGCCGCCGGGACTGGGTCCCGGTGGTCCAACCAGCATTTTGCCAGCTCCCGAGTTTGGTGGCTGCTGCTGCTGCTGCTGTTGCTGCTGCTGCTGGGGGAATTGCATGCGTTGCTGCTGCTGCAGGGTGAGCATATTGCCGCCGGGCGAGTGACTGCGCATGGCCACCATGTTGTTGGTGACGCCAACGCCAACGCCCACGCCCACACCCAGAGCTGCTGCCGTTGGCTGACCCAGCAGACCGGATCCGGGACCCTGTGGACGCAATTGCTGGGGCGGCATCACTCCACCGCCCATGGGTGAGATGCTGGGATGGATGCAGCTCTGTGGAGGTTGCTGACCCTGCTGCTGCTGCTGCTGGGGAAGGACTACTCCGCCTGCTGCTGCACTGACTGCTCCGCCAGCTGCTACACCACCACCACCACCTGCACCTCCACCGCCAGCAGCTCCCTGCTGATGCAGCAACATCTGCTGGTGCTGCTCCTTGCGCTTCAGCCGCTTCTCCTCCAGCTCCTTCTGTATCTTGTAGATCTTCTCGGCCAGCAGGTGATAGTACTCCGACCTGGACTTGGCCATCTCGTACATATCCTTCTCGACCTTTTCCGCATACGAGACCAGGTTGTGCATGCGCTTGTCCTGCATGGTGGTGGGATCGGAGGTGGGGAAGATGGCCTGCACGAGCTTGTGGACGAGATGGTTGCGCAGATCGCTGGTCACCGATTCCCGCCAGTCCTTCTCATTGTCGCCGGGTGTGCCAGAGTTGCCACCGCCACCGGCGCCGCCACCAGCGCCTCCGCCAGTTACCGTTCCAGCGCCTGCATTCTGATTGGGATTGTTAGTGGTGCCGCCAACGCTACCGCCACCGCCACCCGTTGTGTCGGCTGGCATGAGGACACTGGATCCGGCTGCCACCTGGCCACTGGCTCCGCCGGCGCCTGCTGCTCCTGCTCCTCCGCCCGGCGCTGCACCGCCGCCCACCACATGGCTCTGTGGATGCACTTGGGCCACCTTCAACTGCTGCTTGTCATTGGGCACGCCTCCGCTTCCGCCGCCGCCGCCTCCTCCTCCGCTGGCCGCGGCATTACCGAAATTGGCATTGCCAAAGCCACCAACGTTGACGGAGAGTGGTGCCGGAATGTTGCCAACTAGCTGGGCGGGATTGGGTTGCTGTTGTTGCTGCTGTTGCTCCACCATGTTGGCCAGGCCACCGCGTCGTCGGTTCTGCTGCTGCTGCTGCAGCATCTGCTGCTGCTGCTGCTGTTGCTGTTGTTGTTGCTGCTGCAGGCTGTTCACATCGTTGGGCAGGACATTGGGCCCACTGCCGGGACCGCCGGGTCCTAGCACCCTAACAGCCGGCTGCTGTGCTCCCTGCATTCGGATCACGGGTGGCAAACCCTGCTGCATGTTGCCGGCTGGAACGGGCGAAAGTCCCACCTGGCCCATGCCATCGAAGCGTCGCAGCTCCTGCTGCTGTTGCACCTGCTGCTGGTGCACCTGCTGCTGCTGTTGCTGCTGTTGCGTCAACTGCTGCACCATGTCCGCTGGCGTCTTGGGGGCACCCGGTGTGCCGCCAGCTCCCTGCTGTTGCGGCAGCACTATGGCCGTGTTCTGACCACCGCCCGGTGCCACCTGCTTGCTGCCATCACCCACCAGGCCAGTGAGATTGGGCTGCTGCTGCTGTTGCTGCTGCTGCTGCTGCAGATTACCGCCTGCTCCGCCAACTGGTACGCCAGCCGAACCGCCTGTGATGGCCGCTGGTCCTGCATTTCCCGACGGTCCGCCACCAGGTGGCACATTGGCATTTTGAAAAACCGAATGATTCTGCCGAAAGGGATAGCAAATGATGCAGCCACTGTTGATGCACGTCTTGTAGTGCAAGAGTATCTGGCGCGAGGAGGCGCAGTGCTGCATGGTGCAGTCCTTGCTCTGCTTGCAAGTGCCCATATGGGCGAGCACCGTCTTCATGGCCTTGCAATAGTTGACGTTGCACACCTCCCTGTTGGGATTGAGGTTCTCCCTTCGATTGCATTTGTGCGCATGCAGCAGCAGCATCAATTGCTGTTGGATCTGTCGCTTGCGATCGTCGGGCACATCGCGATTGGCGCCGCCACCAGGACCGATCACCTGCCCGGCGCCCGCACCGCCAGCCACAGTGGGCACAGCAACGGTGCCGGCATTGGCCACTACTCCTGCTCCGCCGAGTCCGACTCCCTGCTGCTGCTGCTGCTGCTGCTGCTGTTGAGAGGTTCCCGGTTGTTGCTGTTGCTGCTGCTGCGGCTGACCCGGATGACCGAGTAGCTGGTTTGGTTGCGGTGGTCGAGGACCCATTGCCACCGTTTGTTGCTGCTGGCCCAGCATCTGTTGAGGATTGCCGCCGACCAGAGGCACGGAACCATCGCCGCCGAGCGTGGACATGGGCACCACAGTGCCCACAGGTCGATTGCCCTGCGGCATGCCCGGCACAACGCCGCCTCTTTGGGCCATCTGCTGGGCCAGGAGTTGCTGTTGCTGCTGCTGCTGCTGTTGCTGCTGGGGATTGTTGCCGCCGCCAGGACCACCATACTGACCCACACCATAGGGCAGACTATTGAGTTGGCCTATTTGAGGGATTTACAATAGTTAGCAAGGGATTTTTGAAAAAGACCAAACCAAACCAAACAGAGACTCACCCATTTGCATGTTGGGATTCTGCATGCGTGGTCCTCCGCCCCCGGGTCCATTGCCCGGTCCACCAGCTCCTCCAGCGGCGCCCATTAGATGCGGACCACGTAGCATATGCTGTTGCCCCACCATGCGTCCCATCATGGGACCATTTTGCATGTGCATGCCTTGGTTCGGAGTCGCGGCACCTCCGCCGCCGCCAGCGCCCACTCCGCCGGGTCCAACTGCTCCTCCTGGACCGCCGCCGCCGCCTGGTCCTCCTGGCACGGAAACGGCATTGATCATGCCACCACCGCCGCCGCCGCCGCCTGGCTGCTGCTGCTGCTGTTTCAGCTGATTGACCATGCCGCCCATGCCGCCGCCAACGCTGTTGGTCAGCACCATGTTGCCCAGATTGCCCTGAGCAATGGTGTTCATGCCTGCGAGAGATTGAAGCAAAAGAGGATATTTAGAAAAGCTCTTTAAGATTTACCCCTGCAGTGATGTTTTAGGAAATTTATAGTTTAATTGCAAACAGTGTTGGGCAAGTACAAGTACACAACTTTCAAGGATAATTGCAATAAATAAAGTAAATCAAAATATTTCGCACTAATTTATAAGGAAATCTCTGTAGCATCAGAAATATTTAATTAAAAAAAATTCCTATTGGTTTATAACTAGGAAAGGTGCTCCAACACTGATTGCAATTGCTAGAGCTCTCTGCATCAAGATCATCACTTTAGATGTAAGTCTCACCTGGTATGGCGTTCATGCCATTGTTGCCATTATTCGATATAGACATTGGCATCGTGTTGACCATGCCCATCTGAGTGCCCACCACCTGCTGCATGCCGCCCTGATTGGGCGATTGCAGGTTGGGCGACTTGCTGCCCAGCTGCTGCATTCCGGGCACCACCATGGCGCCCTTCTGGCCCTGCTGCTGTTGCTGCTGGAGCAGATGCTGCAGCTGGTGGGGATGCGGCATCTGGGGGATGCGGTTGGCGTTGCCCGTGCCGGAGCCATTGCCACTGCCATCGTCGCCGCCTGTGCCGGATCCGTTGCCGCCGTTGCCGCCGTTACCGCCGCCGCCGCCGCCGGCTCCGTTCATCTGGGAAGGCACAACGCCGACAACGCCCACGTTAACGTTCACTCCAACGCCAACGCCAACGCCAACTCCGCCAGGTCCTGGTCCTTGGGCAGCCGGTTTGTTGGGTCCGCCGCCGCCAGGATTTGGTCCGGAATTTGTCGAGTTTGTGGTCACGCCGGAGGCGCCACCGCCTCCATTGCCGCCGCCGCCTGCTCCACCGGTCAACTGGTCCGACCAGCCGCTGTTCGAGGACACCAGCTCATCGGGCAGATTCTCCTCCAGAAAGTAGGACATGTCCGCTGCTGGGAGATCAACGAAAGTTCGATTAGCAAGTAATTTAAAAATATGTAGCAGGGGATTTAAGGAATCCCCACATTGGAAAAGCTAGGACATCTCAAACACATTATGGCATAAAGTCAACAATTCAAAGCACTATTAACCCCATGGGGTTAAATATTTAAATTAAAAATTGGAAAAGCTAAGGACACCTCAAAAGTAGTATGGATTTATTTAAAAAAAAATCCTATTAAGTCCTATTAAATATTAAAATTAAAAAAATTATAACTTTAAACTTATAGTCTGTAAATAATACAAATAAAATGTATATTAATATTTATAGTATTTAAAAACCTTTTCCTAAACTCTTGCGTTTAAAGAAAAACAAATTTAAAACACAAAATGGTGAAATATAAAACTTACCTGCTTTAATTGAAATTTTCTTTATACTAAGCATTTTTTGGGGTTTTGCCCAATCATTTAAATATATAAACAATTGCTGGACATTCTGAAGGACATTCCTGCAAGTCCTTTAAGTTTCCTGTTTATTTATTAAATTACCCCCAAGAAATGTTTCTAATGACATATTATAATTAGAGCTGCCTTAAAACCCTAGCATAGGGTTTTGCAAATAATTTAAATATAAAATCAATTTCTGGACATTATATTATTTAATTGTATTGTCCTTGGGTTTGGTTTACATATTTATTGAATTCATTCCTTAATAGTCTCTAATGACATACCTATGTATATTAAAATAAGAGTTGCCCTAGACACCTTAGCGAAAAAAGAAAAAAAAAACAAAATGTCGGCTGGCTTGCCAAAAAAAAAACATCAATTCATGCTGGCTTATAAATCCATCTGTCAGAATGGCAAAAAAAAAAAAATGGACATCGGAAAATGGAAAATTCTGGGGCTACTCACTTGGATCCATTTTGACCCGCTTCTGGGGCGGTTCGTCTAAGTGATCGGCCATCATATAGAGTTAGTTGGATTGTTCGTCGTTCAAAGACGAAAACGCAAACGAAAACGAAAAGAACGTTGTTTGGAAACCGAGAGGAAATTGGAGGAAAAGCGTTGCTTGCTCCTCCCTTCGCCAGTAGTTCTTCCTGTTTTTTTGGTTTTTTTTCACGTTTTCTTTTTATTTGTAAGAGTTTTCTTCTGTCTTCAGTGTTCTTTTTTTTTTTTTTTTTTTTTTTTGTTGGAGCTCCGACAACGTTGAAGTTCGGTAGAGTTCTGATTTTTGTCAAGGGAGCGGAGCTGTGCTTCTTGATTTGTTCTTTGACAGTTGTTGCACAGATTGCCAAAAGATTTCAGTTTTAGTTTTTGGTAGTGTTTTTTAGTTACGATACTTTTTCAGTTTTGGACACTTTTGCAACACACGCACGCACATACAACACTACACACAAAAATGAGGCACTCAAAAGGCGTGACTGGCGAGGATTGGGATTTGGTATTGGTATTGGTATTGGTGTTGGTTAAGGATATTGATGGAGGCTGTTGCTGTTGCAGTTGTTGCTGAGGTGGTCGTTGTTACTAAGGATTTTGTTGTTCTGCTTGTGCTGGTGCTGTTGCTACTGCTGTTGCTGCTGCTGGTGCTGCTGTTACTGATCAGTAGTGGTTGCCGCTGCAACGACAGCAACAACGTCGGCGGCGCTATCGTCACCGCAACGACGCCTGGTGGACACCACGTCGTCGTCGTTGTCGCTCCGGCTTTGGATCCTCCTGCTTCTTCTCCTGCTCCTGCTGCACCCCCTTCTTCTCCTCCTTCCGCTTCCGCTGATCCTGGAGGACCGCGCAGCCACCACCGCCTCCTCGTTGCGGCGCCGTTGAGATCGTTGTCGTTGTCGCCGCCACTGGCGCTTTGGCCAGCAGACAACTCCTCCCGCTCCCGCTTCCTCAGCTGCTGCTGCTGCTGCTCCTCCTCCTGCTCCTTGACTTGTACCGCTTCCGGTTCGAATGCTTCCTCTTCCTTGTGCTTCTTTAGCTGCAATTTGTTGTTGCTGCTGCTTTTGTTGTTGTTGCTGCTGCTGCTGTTGTTGCTGCTGCTGCCGTCGTTGTTCTTGTTGTTGTTGTTGCAATTGTTGTTTGTCGAACAGCAGCAGACACACGCGTGCATTTTGTGTTGTTGGGCCCCAAAAAACACCAAAAGTTGACCTTGGCTGGGCGGGGGGCTGTGTTTGTTGCTGTTTGTTGTTTGCTTGTTTGTTTGTTGTTGCCTGCCTGCCTCCACTGAGCGAAAATTAACGGTTGTTTTTCGCCTCTCGCACTCTCTTCTTCTTCTTCTCTCCTCTTTTACTATCCGCCTTTTTCCGCTATCTTACATCTTTTCAGTGATTTGTTTTTTTTTTGGCGGCTTTTTTTCGGCTCCACTTTTCTTTTCTATATATATTTTATTATATATTATTTGTTATTAATATTTATTATTCTTATGCACTTGATACGGTTTTCAATTACAATTAAAAAAAAAAGCAATTCACATTGTTGGCTGTTGTTGTTGTTGTTGGGTTTGTTGTGTTACGGTTGTTTTTGTTGCTGGCTCTGCTGCTGCTGTTGTTGTTGTTGCTGATGTCGATGTTGATGCTGCCGCTGCTACTGCCGCCGTTTGCCGCTCTAACATTGCACATAAACTGTAACGCACAAAATAAAATGCTTGCCTATTAGATTTATTGAACACACGGAGGAATCGAAACCAATATTTATTTATTTTTTGAGTCGCGCGCGAGTGTCCAGCGAAAACGAAGGGGAAAAGGGAAACGGGAAACTAAACTAAACGAAACGAGACGAAAGGGGCGAAAAGGAAACGAGAATGTACTTTTCTCTCTCTCAGCTCTTGTCTCGCAATTTTATTCGGCAAATTCTACGCGCTGTACTCGCTGCCGACGTGTGGACGTGTGTGTTGGTCTCTCGCTCTTTTGGCGCACACCACGAAAATGAAAATAAAATAATTTATTTTGCCGCCTGTCCCCGAAACAAGTGCCGTTGCTGGTTAAATTATGGTAAAAAAAAGATGGGAGCCGTGGAGCTCACTGAAACTTAAAAGGGGGGATAATGTCCCTTAAGAACCTCAAAACAATGCAAGAGCCCTTAAAAAATATGCAGAAATGCCAGCCGGTTAAGCCTATTGCTTAGCGTTCAATTTACATTTAAATGGCCGAAAAAGTGGCCGTATTTTGGTTTTGCTTCCGCATTCGAGCGGCCATCATATGAAATTAAATTTGTTGGGGCTGGCGAGTGGCGAGTGGGGAGCGAGCGGGACGACACTAGTAGTGGGGCTGTTGGCTGACACAAAAGCTTTCACACACACACACACATTTAGAGTTTGGGGCGCGCGTACAGAGATTCTCACAGCGACGCCAACGTTTTCACCACACAGTTACACACACGCACGCAGACCAACGAGACCGTGGAAGAGCGAACACACGACCACGAGAGAGAGAGAGAAAGCGTGCGTTGGTATTGGTGACGAGCGGCGCAACGCATTGGTGTGCATACACACACGACGGGTAAGCGGCAGCGAGTGCGAGGAGCATTGGAAAAAGAAAGAAAAACAGACGACAGAAATATATTCCATTTTTTTTCTGTGTTCGCTCGTCGTTTTCGTTTCGTTTTCTTCTTCACGTCGTTTCAAAGTTTCTATTGCAGAAATTTTTTGTGTTGTCTCCGCCGCAGCGTTTTTCATTTTTCCCGGCCCGCACAAAAATCGCAAAATTCAATGATGCAAATCCGAAATTCGAGAAAATGCTGAAGAAAATTTGAAAAAATTTCCGGCCCAATTTCGGCCCGGTTTCGAATTTTCACAACACCTCCGATTGCCACGCACTAAATTTCTAAATATTCTTTGCAATTTTACCGATTTTTGATTTCGTACCAAATATTTTTCACATTTTCCGGCGATTTTAGAAAAATCCCACAAACTTTTTCGCAACACTAAAACAAAAAAATTTCAGTCCGCTTGTGTTAATCGTTCTCCGAGCCCAAATGTTTTTGCTTCAGTGTGACCGTTTTGAAACCGTCGAACAAACGGCAAAGGCCTCAAATCGCCGTTTGTCGTTTTGTTTAGTTCGTTCGTTCATTTGTCGCTCTCGTTGCTCTCGCGACCTGTTAGCCCGCTGTTACGGCTGAAAATGCCATACAAATGCCGCTGTTACCGAGCTGTTGTCGCCGTAACAGCTGTTAGCCGCTCACGCCACGCGCCCTTGTGAGAGCCGACTCGCACACACAGGCACACATATGGCGCGCCAGATAACGAAGCAGCGAGTCCAGAGATGAGCACTACTCACCGGTGACAAGCTCGCAGATATTTTTATGTGGCGGCAATCACAGATTGGGTCACGAAAATATTGGACACAAGACAAAGGAGAAAACAAACAAAAAGTTGCACAAGTTACAAAAAAAAGGCTAAAAACTCAAGTTTTTGGAGAATGGATTTTACAATTCTCCTTTACTTTCCAAAATTAATATGTTCGTAAAATGGAAAGAATGTGTTTTATGTTCTTGCTTTTTTCCAATTTTAACTGACATAAATTAAATGTTTTTCAAAATATATATGTTTTTTAATTAAGTGGTGTTGATTTATTTTCCGCAATGTCTTTCAGAAACTAAATTTTAAATTTCAAAAAAAAATAATTTCCCCTACCTCTAGTAAAATTGTGGATTGGGGCCACCTATGTATATTGTCGTATATGGATAGTTAAAAATTTTCTATATTGGTAAATGTATTGTTTATTTGTGATTTTTAATTCCTATTGATGTTTTTAAACGATTAACTTAAACAATAAATTCCAATTTACAAACCAAATCATATGCAATACAGACACCCACAATCAGTGATGTGAACATGAAGTGAGCAAAACATTTTCTTTTCCAAAAATATATCTATACATCCTCCAAGAAAGCAAGATTTATGTCCATTCTTTTCTAGTTTTATATTCTCAAAAGATAAAATAAAGTAACGACATTCAAAGGAGGCAAATAATCGAGTCACTGGACTTGCGCATATCTGGTGGGTTCAGTGTGAGCGTGTCGCCGCGAGAGACAATGAGAGCGAGAGAGAGAAAGCCGAAAAATCAACCGCCGCAGGATAACACTATCGTCGTCCTTGTCCGACGAACCGGTGGCCATGCAAACAACGCACAGAACAAATTAATTTTCAAATTGTTCAATAAATGCCCCACTAGCTGCCTATTTTTCCCCAGAATTTCGTTGTTTTGTGGTTGCCCTTCCGTAAACTTTAGAGCACTTTTTCGATTTTCGCGCGCTGTCCATTGGAGCGTATTTATTTACAATTTTTTTTTTTGTTAGCAGCCGCCGTTGTTTGTTGCACATACACAGCACACACACAAACGCTTGAACTCTGGCACACTGACGAACTCACACCGACACGTTGTCACCGAAACGAGCGAGATGGCAGTTTGGTTATACAGCGATCGAAGCGTGGGTGCAAGTAGGATGGCACGACTGGGACTCGAACGAGACGGGTCAGCGAGTGCCTCTTTTGCGATTGGGAATAAATGCTCGACTTTTTACACTAGATGTGCTGGTTATTATTTAATTATGCTATTTTTTCCGGGACATTGGCAATCGACTGCATTTAGTTTGCCTCAAAACACGCCATACAAACCGATTGATCCGACGATGTCACTTCTGCGCCTCGCGTGTACAATTTGCGCCAATTTCCCCCCTTTTCTCTCTTTTTTTCCAGCCCTCTCTTCCTCTTCTTCTTCCAAGCATTCGTCTGCGACGCAGCGCTGCCGCTCTAACTAATTGTTAGCTAGATGGCGGAGTGAGGCATTAATATAGCTATAATTTTTGTTTTTATTGTAAGCTCAATTATTTAGTTAGAAATATCCCATATTGCAGTGCTATATAAAGTTACGATATTCCAAGTTTTGCTATCGTAATGAAATGTTTCAAAATGTTCCAATAATTGCGGTTGAAACTGACCATAGGTTAAGAAAGTTTCCTTCATAAGGAAACAATTTGTATAATTTAAAGTCAATTTATCAATAAATAAACTAAAATTTTTAATACAACATAAAAGTTTTTAATTTTATCGTGAGAATAAGGCCGAAGAATTAAATATGTTTATATTTTGTTTCTAAAACAAATTGTTACTAATTTTAAATTTATTTTCAAGTTCTACGAAAACTTTCTGTTAACTATACAAGACAGATTTTTGGGCCGTTAACCAACAAAAGTTGTTTAGTTTATGAGATAAATCAAATGAAGATTTTGTTAAGCAAGGAATGCAGTAAGCCTCGTTAAAAAACTATACCTGTTTTTAGTTGAAACAAAATAAATAATAATTCATTTCTGAAAATCGATTTTAACCGAATAACTAAAGACACAATGGTTTGGAATTCAACTAACGATCTAGCAACGTTTTTAACCACAATGGCGCTTTTACAGTGTATGTAAAATTCATGTAAAAGTTGAAAAGTGGCGCCTCCTTTTGGCTTTTTATGAAAATAGTATGACCAAAATTAGTGGCTAGATGTCGCTTTTAAAAATTTTAAAAAGGTAAAGTTGTTTATTAAGTATAAACATATATTATATGAAAATATATAATTATGAAAAATGTAGACTTACTTATTTAATTAAATTGAAAGAAATTAAAGAATTCTCCATTTGCTTTTTATTCAATTTTAAACTGTATTTATAAAGAAATACTCAAAATTACATTTTAATACAAATTTATTGTTGCACTTATATATTTCTAAACTGAAAAATAAAAGAGAACCAAAATTGTTCATCAATAGGGTTTGATAAATTTTAAAAACCCAATTCGCTTAAATAATATTGTGCTTTACTTTAAATAAAAAATTATAAATAAATTTGTTAAAATATTTCAAATCTTCATGGGAAAAAACTCAAATTATTGCAAAATTTCATGACACTATTTTTTTTAATAAATATAGACTTAAATTGTCGAATTTTATTTTGATTTTTAATTTTCACCTGCACAGGTCGTATGTTCCGTTTAAATCCTCTCAGTTTATTTTCATTTTAAATATGCTTACTATTATTTCGTGACATAAATATTAAAGAAAATCAAATTTCCGGCTAAAGACTCCGCTTATTGAAGACTAAATAAATATTTTTGATTTGAAATCCTTTCAAATCTCATATTTTTTTTCGTTTTAAATATGTATACCATTATTTCATAATATTAATATCAAATACAATATAAATTGAATTGTTACCGACTGCGTTTTATTGGCTCACTTTTTTGCTTTAAATCTCCTTTGTGTTTTCGTTGTACATATGTTAACTTTTATTTTTTAACATTCATATTAAGACTCCGTTTTATTGGAGAATAAATGAACATTTTTGATTTCCACTTGCACGGGTCGTCTTCATTTTTCCCTTTGAACCTGTTGTGTCACCGACTGAAACAAAAAGCCGAA